AATGTTCTCCACTGCCATCATCCAAAACAATGAGCCCTACCCATGTCCATCTAAACTGTAGAAGCAAGTGAACAATCCCATTGTACTGAGGAGCTAAATTTGGAACCATGTGGTAAAACGATCGATATTGTGTTTTTCCCCTGTCCTCTACAGCAAATGAGCCATAAGTGAGCTATAAAGTAATGCACACATTTCACTTGTTAGTCGTAGTAGTAACTGAAAACCTACTCTCAGTATTACAAAAGAAGAGTGCAGCCTGTGAATGTCTCCCCATCCTCATGCACATATCTTACCTGTGGAATCTTGTAGAGATCTAGAATTTCTGCCATAAGAGAAGAGGTATCTAAGCCAAGTCCACCAATGACAGCTATGAGGTTTTTCTGGGTATCACACTTGTAGTTGGGGGCAAATCTATGTGATTTGAAGAGCACGTCCAGAGTGCCACGATAGGTCATCCTTGGATTGGAGTAGCTGTCATGGATGTGGAATCCCAATGTGACATTGGTCAAGACATTGGGGTTCTTGTTGATCTCATAGATGGTGTACGCCAAGGCCAGGCCATGTTGGTAGAACTTGGTCACCACACTGCCAGTAAAGATAAATGACTATTTCAGAGGATAATTCTTCAAATGAATGAATTTCTTCTTCCTTTATTTATTTCAACCATTAATATATTGATTAACACCACAGTTTCTAAGCTATGTACAAAAGGGTTACAAAGGGGACATGATAGGAATAAAATCAGTTGAAATTAGACACACATGCACATACACACAATAAAAATTCCATATTGTGGGTAGGTTTACAATAGTTCCCACTTTGCCTTTAGCAAAACAATTCACAACACTAGTGGTCCCAAATGTATTTCAGAATTGTGTTCAGAAGAAGAGGAAGAAGCAGCAGCAGCAGCTGTGGTGTGGCTATACTTTCTGTGAGTTGTTGTTTTCTCATTCACCATTCCCACTTAGAGTTTAAAATTGGAAACAAACAATCAAATGTCAATAACAGGTGCTGGGGTGGGATATGGGTTTCAAAGGAAGTGGTGGGGCGTTGGTAGTATATGTAGACAGATGGAAATAAGCTGGGGAAAGCTGGGCATAAGTTTCATAGGAAAAGCATAGAAAGTGCAATGCTGAATGTTTGATCCGAGCGCGGAAAAGTAAGATTATGTCCGATATTGCCAACCCCCACCAATGTATGCCACATATAATTAGAGGAGTGCCCAAATGGTTCCACAAGCTTGGGTGTCTATTCACCCTCCCCCCACCATGATTATATGTACCCATATTATGCCCATTCTGGGACGGTGGAGGATAATTTCGGATAATTTTCAGGAGTGAGGTTTATGGGTTGGCACTTAATTTACATAATACCACTATGAGGTAGCCGAGGGTTTTTCTTCTTTTACCATTTTAATTTAACAAGAAAATGGGACAGGTATCAGGCTGCTCACACTAGTGTGAAGAATAACACAGTATCTCAACTTGCTGCAGCATTTTCTGAAGAGCCAATGGGAGGATGTTAGACATGCACGAGCTGGGAAGACTGAAGTTGCCAGAAAATAACACAATGCTTTTAAAAGTTCAAAATTTTCTCATCATTTGAATTTGTGATGATGAATCCTCAGCACAACATATATGAACCAGACCATCATCAGTATAGTGGTACCTTGGTTTGCATATGTTTTGGATTACAAACACATCAAACCCGGAAGTGTGTGTCCTGGTTTGCAACCTTTTTTTGGATTACAACCCCCCCCCCCTTTTGGGGGGATTATGAACAAAAAAAAATTGGAGGCCTCATTGGCAAAAGCGCACCTTGGGTTACAACCTGTTTTGGTTTACAAACGAATCTCCGGAATGGATTACAAGTATAAGTACAAGTACAAACTTTTCCAATTTTTTCACACGTTTACATTTTTTAAACACACTTGTTCAACCCTAATGCAAGCTTTCATGGTTGTCCTATTTTTGAAAACCTAACAGCCAGCTCAAGAGTCTTCACATATATTTTTTGCACTGTGGTCATTTTCAGCTATTGAGAATTTGCATAGTTTTGAATTCAATTGTGACACTACCCCCAACACTTCAATATTATTAGACTAATGGCTGCATTGCATAAATATATATTTAATTACATGAAAATTGGATGCAAAATTAATCTAAGTGATATCCAGCTAAGTCATACTTAGAATTAGACTCATTCAAATCAATTTACTTAACATCTCTGCCAATTTCAACAGGTCTGTTCTGAGTATGACTAACAAATCTTATCACCATAAATAGCTCATTCCACACATGCTCCTTCAGTAAACAAAAAACCCTCCAACCCTTCCAAGCAGAAATAACTGTGATCATGGGAGAACAGTGTGTGTGTGTGTGTGTGTGTGTGTGTGTGTGTGTGTGTGTTTGCAAATGCAATTGAAATAGAAGAGTGATTTTGAATGTACCATTTGAACCCCGCAATTCAGAGGGTGGGTCAGAATGCCAACCCTAAACATTGAGAGGATGTATCTTTAGATGTGTGCATCGTCTTTCAACTTGCTTCGTTATGCATGACAACGGTACATTTATGATGGGGAGAAAGCTAGCCCCTGATACATTCTTTCAACTTGTGGACCTAAACCCCTTGTTAGTTGTTTGACCACACTCAGATGAAACAGAATGAACAGAATGCATACTCTGAAATCTCAAAGAGCTTCTGAGATGGGTGTTCCAGGAATAATAGTTCATCAGAAGTATAAATGATCTGAGAAGTCATTCCACCGATGAGGAGGCCACCTGGCTGGTACCACTCATGTGGAATAGGGAAGGGATCAATTGCAGGGCACTTCACTGTTTCTGTTTTGCATGCGTTTTCAGGCAACAGAAACAGGAGCACCATTAGCCACAACATCATGGCGACAAAGTTTTGCTTTTATTTCACACTCTCCTATACCTTGTCTACAACAACATTGTGGCTTAAAGATGCTGGACAAACTGCATATTCGCTTCATGAAAGGAAACTCCCCAGGCTTACTTTCAGCGTCCAGAGAGTTACAAATACTCACAGAGAAGGCCAACGCTCTGCTTTGAAGCCTTAACTAATCACACAGACAGTCAGCAAGGAAATTGACAGAGCCCTGCCAGGTTCAGGTGTCCAATGGCACAAATATTTATTTATGACAACTTTTTGCTTATTGATGGCATGTTCATGCTTGAAAGAAAACCCTGGAGGTTTCGCCAGACAAATAAATGGATAACTGCAGGGTGAGATAATTATATCTGTAGCACTGAGCTTTTAATAGCAAACATGTTGGTTCTTCTCCAACCCCCAGTCCTACCACTTCTACTCCATGGTGGGTCGAGGAATGAGTTCTAAGCTGAGCAAATACCAACAGGAAAGTGGGGGTCTGAGGCAGGGGTGGACTCTCAGGTGTTATTGAACTATATATTCCATTCTCATTGATAGGCCATTGGTTATGCTGGCTGGTCTATGTTGGAAATGAGTGTTCAACACCCCAAGGGTCACAGGTGGTGAAATAAGGGTGGCTGGTTTTGTTTTGTTGTTGTTGTTGTTGTTGGGGAGGGTAACATGATTAAATTTGAAAAACCCTTGCTGATGACTTAAAAAATAATACTCTTACCCCTGGGAAATTTAAGAAGTTTGTCGTTCCATCTCAAATTAGTGTTTGAGATCTAAGATATGACTGTACTAGTTGTTGGGAATGGCAGGAGTGATGTTTGCAAGCTGCCCCATAGGCACCTAATTAGCCACTGTAAGAAAAACATGGAGGAACAGATGGGCTGCTGGCTGATCCAAAAAATTATTCTTATGTTCTTATCTTTCTTTAAGGGTGTTCTGAGTCTGAGCCCAACCAATAATTTAATGACGTGATGTGGTCATAGTGCTCCACATCATAGTGCTCCAAACCTCTCTGGTATTAGCTAGTGATGGAGGAAGCATAATGCGACAGAGTTCAGTCACAATGTCCTCACTAGACCACCACAGGCAAACGGTAAAGTGGACGAGGAAATCTCTGAAGCAAATAATGCCAGCAGAATTTGTTGAGAAAAATTAGGAGGATAAGAATATGTGTCAGCTCCGTATCAACACAGTGCCCGGTTGGGTCATGACTACCATATTTGGGGATGGGACAGAAAGAGGGAATAAAGTTCCCCTTTACTGTTTGGCTTTGCTCACTTGTGTGAGTCATTAGAAGGAAATGCTGCTTTCAAAATTATTTTAGAGGACCTGGTCTCCATGACCCAGCTGCACAAACATTCCCTACCATCATTCATCATTCATTCTCTACAGCACCATTCCACCATTATTCTTCTTATTCTTCTTCTTATTATTATTATTATTATTATTTAATTTCTTGTACTCCACCCATCTCAGTGGGTTGCCCCAGCCACTCTGGGCAGCTTCCAACAGAATATAGAAACCCCCCCACATGATTCATCATACATTAAAAGCTTCCCAATACAGGGCTGCCTTCAGATGTATGCAGTCGATCACATAATTGCTTATCTCTTTGACATCTGATGGGAGGGTGTTCCATAGGGTGTGCACCACTACTGAAAAGGCATTCTGCTTGATTCCCTGCAACTTCACTTTTTGCAATGAAGGAACTACCAAAAGGCTTTCAGAGCTGGACCTCACTGTCAGCACTATATGACAGAGGTTAGAGATGCTCCTTCACACGTACAGAGCATCCTACCCCTTAATTTGATAGCATATTATATTAATCATCTTATAATATATAATATATTGTAAACAGGGTTCCTGTAACACAAAACACTACAGTGCATCATTAATTTATACATTTAAATTTCAATCATAGGACCCTGCTGTGTTAACAATTAGCTAAAGATGGCAGTAGGTAATATGGGTTGATAGGTAAATGGAGCAGCAAAAGAAACTTGATGGGGAGACATGTATATAAACAATGATCTATAATTAGCTTTGATGTATAACAAGGTTACACCTACTAGCTAAATTAATTGGAGACAGATTATCTAATTCTTTGTCCTAATTAGTTGGTCTCTGCTGTTCAACTCTGGCCTGAACACAATGATGTAGTATTTAGGGAAAAATATGCAACCTAGTAACCCAGCACTGGAGGCCAAGATGGAGAAGACCTCCACAGCCACCATCTGTTTACCTCTTGAGCTCAGGTAAGTTGGAACAAAGGACAACCAAACACTGCAAAATGCAAGTATGCTGAAGGTAATGAATTTGGCCTCATTAAAACTATCAGGTAATTTCCGGGCTAGAAAAGCCACAATGAAGCTGATGATGGCTAAGAAGCCCATATAGCCCAGGACACAATAAAACATGGCAACTGACCCTTCATTACATTGTACAATGATTTCTCCAGCTACCGTGTGCATGTCTAAATCAGGGAACGGGGGAGAGGTTCCAAGCCACCCAATACAAATACTTGCTTGAATAAGGGAACATGAAAGGACAATGGATTGACCCAATCCTTTGCCTACCCACTTCATCAACCTGGAGCCTGGCTTTGTGGCTAAGAAAACAAGAACCACGGTGATGGTTTTGGCCAAGACACAAGAAACAGCCACTGAGAAGATGATGCCAAAAGTGGGTTGACGGAGAAGGCAGGTCACTTTTCCAGGTTGTCCAAGGAATAGTAAAGAAGAGAGGAAGCAGAGCAGGAGGGAGACGAGGAGAGTGTAGGTGAGGCCTCGGTTGTTGGCTTTGACAATGGGAGTATCTTTGTGCTTAATAAAAGTTCCTAGTACCAAAGCTGTGATTAGGGAAAAGGCTAGGGCAACTGAGGCTAAACTGATCCCTAAAGGTTCCTCATAAGACAGGAAGTTTCTAGATTTGGGGATACAGCCATCTCTGTAATTGTTTGGATATTGATCTTCTGGGCATTTGAAGCAGTCAACCATATCTGAAAAATAGAAAGAGCTTCTATTTCAGTGTCAATCCATGTTTAATTTGGGGAAGTATTACGTTGCCTGAAACACATTTGTTTCTGTAAGTGGTCATATAAAAATGAATTTAATAGTCTCTTTAACCAACTGATTAGCTGAGGGTGAAGAGTGTCAGATGTTTGTGACAGTTATAGAGAAATGAGTTCTCAAGGGAGAGTTAAAGCGTAGCTTGTGTGAAAGCCGAGGATTTGTTAGGCAGGATACAATTAGGAATAGGACCAAAGGTATGAACACATGGTAAGACATGTAAAATATGCAAGCATAATTACTGAAAGAAATATTTCAAACATATAGTTATTAACAGATATTTGTTTAATCAAACCACATCTCATAGTTGGCCAAGCTATCCAGGCTATGAGAAAGTCAGCTAGAAATATTTTGTCTTGTTGGCAGCATGGGAAAAACTATGGAAAGATGACTTAAAATTTACAGCATGTTAAACGCTGAAAGAAAATTACCTGAATATGATGTGCCATTGGTACTTAACACCTAAAGGTAAAGGGAGCCCTGACCATTAGGTCCAGTCGTGGCTGACTCTGGGGTTGCGGCGCTCATCTCGCTTTATTAGCCGAGGGAGCCAGCATACAGCTACCGGGTCATGTGGCCAGCATGCCTAAGCTGCTTCTGGCGAACCAGAGCAGTGCACGGAAACACCACTTATCTTCCCGCTGGAGCGGTACCTATTTATCTACTTGCACTTTGATGTGCTTTTGAACTGCTAGGTTGGCAGGAGCTGGGACCGAACAATGGGAGCTCACCCTGTCGCAGGGATTCGAACCGCCAACCTTCTGATAGGCAAGCCCTAGGCTCTGTGGTTTAACCCACAGTGCCACCTGTGTCCCTTACTTAACACCTAGCAAGTAAGCAAAAATGTATAGGACTAACTCAAATGTATGTTGGAAATGTAAGGAAAAAGAGGGCACCTTTGATCATATGTGGTAGAATGGTAAAAGATAAAGAAATTCTGAGAAATGATATATAATGATCTTTAAAAAAATGTTTAAAATAACATTTGTTAAAAGACCAGAAGCCTTTTCCCTAGGAATTATAGGTGCAGACATACAGAAAGATTTGAGAAGACTTTTCATGTATGCAACTACAGCTGCAAGATTGCTGCTCACCCAGCGTTGGAAAATCAGAAATCAGGAGGATCAAAGCTTCAATAGGGAATTGGACAAATATAGATTGCATTTAAAAGAACACTGTCATCATCTGAGTTCTTCGTCAGGCTTTCAGTAACTCTTGCAATGTTACAAAGACTTTGGATATATTGGAAAACAATAATGTGGAAGAACTATAATATGCAGTTGATTTAGACATATAAAGGACCCATAGAGGGGAGGAGGGAAATCCTAGGACTTGGAAGAATCTGGTTTGATGTTAAAATGCAAATGTGGTAAATGTGAAATTTATTTATTTTTACAAAATCAATTTTAAAAAATCAAAAAAGAAATAACAAACAGAAAAGGCAAATAACAAGTTAGAAGCCTGAGGAATTGGCTTCCCAGACAGGGGAATCCTATAAGGCAAATGGGAACCAAAGCAGACAGAGAGAACATTTACCAAGCAAAAGAGATTTTAAATAAAGTACAGTGGTACCTCGGGTTAAGAACGTAATTCGTTCCGGAGGTCTGTTCTTAACCTTAAACTGTTCTTAACCTGAAGCACCACTTTAGCTAATAGGGCCTCCTGCTGCCACTGCGCCGCCGGAGCATGATTTCTGTTCTCATCCTGAAGCAAAGTTCTTAACCTGAAGGACTATTTCTGGGTTAGCGGAGTCTGTAACCTGAAGCATATGTAACCTGAAGCGTATGTAACCTGAGGTACCACTGTACTCTCTTATTCCTAAGTGGTGGGTTTAGGCAGGGATATATGTGACATAAGGGCATCCCACAGTGCTTGGTCAATGATAGAAAATACTCATTTTCCTGTCCCAGCCATGTAATATTCTATAGGCTTGGTGTGCTGTTGTGAGTTACATTTCATGTATGACCGCTTGGCCAAGTGGTTACATACATGATGTGAGCAATTTATCACTGGTCATAGGACACAAAATCTGAAATAATCTTGGGGGATGGGAAAAATAGATTTCTACATCACCTACCATTCTGTTTTGAAATCTTCCCTTCTGGGCATGGAACACAATCATAACAGCAAAATTTCCCCCCTTCCTTCTTTTTCTTCAGTTGACCAGGGTGGCAATGTTCATTACACACAGAGACAGGCCGCACCTATCCAGGAAAAGGGGGTTGGATATCAGAAATATGTACACACTCTGTCTGTAAAGCAATCCATCGTTGATTCACAGAAGCGTAGCACATCTGCTATGTTTTCCTATTAAGTAATACATAGACATACATTGTTCGACTATAGATCTACAGATCAAGAAGCTGAAGCAATTACCATATGCCTAGAAACAGATAATGTCAAATTGTGCTCACTGAGGAAAGATTACGTGCATTTTATCCAGACTAATGATCTAGAGCACAGAGCAGCTCCCAATAATACCCTAAAATCTCCACCTGCTTGAAACCTCTGTGCCACGCAATTATATCTTCATTAAGGGTGAATCCATTTCCTTGAAGAGCATTGAGATCCTCCATTCTTCCAACTTTCACTCTCTGGAAGGATGTGTTTGGGAATATGATCATGTTCATTATTTCAAATCCACCACCCATTTCCTTCTTCCCGTTAAAGGACATAGTTTCTGCAGCTGAGTTGTTGAACGAAATGCTTTTCAGAATCAAATGGAGCTAATTGAAAGAGCAAAATAAATAAAGGGTTTTGAAACAAATGAGAAAGGGGCGGATACATTGTTTTGAACTTAAAAGTGTGCTTATGGGTAGTGGAATATATGACATTGGAAATTTTAGAAGCCAAGTCAGGCAAAGAGCAGTTATATGCATTTTCTGTTCTTATCTGCTCCTCAAGAATATAGTTTCTGGTTGTCTTTCCCACAATTTGTGATTGGTCAACTTAATCAGTCCAAATAAAATGATTTCATTGCATAACTGTCAACTTTTCCCTTTTCTTGTGAGGAATCCTATTGGGAATAAGGGAAATTCCCTTAAAAAGGGGAAAATGTTGACAACTATGTTTCATTGTGACGGAAGAAGTTCAACTGTCCTGTATTACAGAAAGCTGAGTGGAGAGCGCTCATCTCTCCTAAACCAGACCTTATTAAAGTTCAGTGAACAGAGATCAATGTGGTCTATAGAAAGTCCATTCCAGCCTAACTGTCCATCTGAGTGCCAACCTTGAATGGTATGAGCACACAGGAAAGATTTGGAAATTTATGGTGAGCCCCCTATCCGGCTGATATCTCTGCTTCAGGTGAAGGAGCTGCTCTTTAAATACTCCTTAAATGTGTGGGTGTGCCCCCATAATGATAATAATAATAATAATAATTATTATTATTATTATTATTATTATTATTATTATTATTATTATTAGTATTATTATTATTAATATTAATATACCTCCTTATACCCGGGGGTCTTAGGGCAGTTCACAGAATATGCACTGATAGAATCTAATTAACAGAAAAATAAAACTTTGACAACGGATAACCTCACAATTTCATCCCAACAGTTATAAATAATTTGTTGTTGTTTGTTCATCAAAAGATTTCAGGGCAGATCACATGATAAAAATACAAGATAAAAATGCGAATGAATAGTTAAAACAAAAATAACGAAACAGTACCCTCAAACACAATAGCACATTTAGAAGACAGTAGACTATTACTGTAGAATATTACAACAACAACAATAACAACAAGTGGGATGTTTTCACCCAGCACCTTATGATATATAAAAAAGGTACTAAACGAACTTCCCTGGAGAGAGCATTCCACAAATGCGGAGCCTGCAGAAAAGTCCTGTTCTTGTGTTGCCACCCTCCAAACTTCACATAGAGAAGGCACATGAAGAAGGGCCTCAGAAGATCAATGACAGCAGTAGCTCAAGGACTGCCTGTTCCCATATAAACCAACTTGTACTCTGAGGTTAGTTTATATAGGAACAGGCAGTCCTTGAGCTACTGCTGTCATTGATTATTGATTCATTTTTAGCATTTTTGCTATGTAATAAGCATGTTTAGTTGTAGAGCCATTACCTGCCAAGGCTGGATATCTTCAAGGTCTAATCTTCTGCTACCCACCATTGCTCTGTGCTTGGATCTAGTTGAGTAAATGGCATGCAAAGCATGAGCAACGGCATAGACAGCATTATAGATACTGTAGCTGTGGCCAGTCATGTCCATTTCAAACAATTGCCTAGGAAGACTATCTATCCTCTCATCTCCACTACACATCCCACTGTCATGCACTGTCATGTTGTCATCTGGAAATGAACAGTCAAATGCTTGCGCCCAGAAATCCTTGAGGAAACCATCTCCTTTGTTCCAGCCAGGTTTTATGCTCTGAATAAATTTCTCAAATTCTGGAAGCTCTTTTGTGTGAATGGTGAAGGAAATGGCGCCTTGGAAGAGCTGAAACCCCCAGTTTCTTTGAATTCCTGTTGCTAAGAAATCAATCTGAGTAGTCATAATCCAAACTTTTACAAATGATGGCATCTCTACATTTCCTGGGTTTTGCAGAGTTATACATGCCCTCAGCCATGCTAATGTCATGGACTCTCCATTGATGATGCAGACATTGGTTCCATAATCTTTGAAAAATATATGAATAATTGAGAATATATCCATAATTCCATCAAGGTCATCCCAGTGGGCTTGTGCTGGAAGCCTTAGTGTGAAAGCTGAACAGATTCCATGCTGGGAAAACAGTGCTTCCAGGGTCTGTAAGAATTTTTCTCCACTATCATCATCTGCAGCGAATAGGCCTACCCATGTCCATCCGAAATGTCGAAGCAAGTGGACAATCCCACTGTACTGATGGGCTTCATTTGGGACCATGCGGTAAAATGATTGAAACTGTGCCATCTCTTTCTCCT